CTCTGGTGAAGACCTTCAAGAGTTCAGTTTTTTCTCCCAGAAAATTGGAAGGTAGAATTGTAAATTCATAGAACTTATTTTATAATGGTGAACCTCAGCAGCTGCCTTTCAATTTATGCCAAGTCCTTACTGAGTTTATACTTGAATAGTAAATATGTCTTCTGAGTTTTATAGTGTCTTAAACTCAATGCACATTTTTTTCTTCCTTTCCCACCCTTTCTTGTTTGTAGTTCATTAAACCTGTTCTATTACAGAGCTGATTTCCTTCCTGGCTGTACTTGTTGGGGTGCTGGATTTTTTCCATGTCTCTAGTCTTCCATGAATCCAAATATATATATAAATATATATATACATATATATAGATATATGTTCTCCTCTTTAGCTTGTGGTGAATACAGTGATTTGCATTGAAGAATAAAACATCTGCTGCCTTTTTTGACTAAGATTTTACAACTTTCATTGGTGCTAACTGCTAAAGTTCCAAGACATTATACTTGCATATTTTAAGGGCTATTTTTCAGGGTAAGAATCAAATATAAGAATTAGGAGGGCTGGGGATATAGCTCAGTTGATAAAGTGCTTGCCTCACATGCACAAGGCCTGTGTTCAATCCCCAGCAGCACACGCACACGCACACGCACACACAAAGAAAGCATTAAGAAGTATCTTTAGTCACTTATTCATCCAGCAGGTCTTCCTTGAGCACTAGTATGTGCTGGGCATTATGCCTGCAAGGTATACAAAAAGGGTACGAGGGGGACCTAATTTAGATGTTTGGCAGCGGGTAGCAGGGGTGGGGGGATCAGAAGAAACCTGATGAAGTAACATTGGGAAACTTAAAGGAAAAAGGTAGACATAGCCAAACAGAGGGACTGAGGACAGCCTTCCTGGACTAGGTAGCTAGGTGAACAGCAGTGCGGCTAAGGCCCTACCTAAAGAGAAAAGGAGCTCAGGGCCTTGGAGATCACATCACTAATAAGAAAGGAAGCAAGTACAAAGAATAGTACGTTCTGCTCCAGTGTTGGAAAGGTAAGGGGGCTGCATAAAGGCCGTGTTAAGGAATTTGTATTTTATTCTAAGTGTAGTAAGAAGCAAAGAAGTTTAAGCTTGAAAGTACCATGATAAATTCTAAAAGATGACTCTGGCTTCTATTTGGAAAATTGAATGGAGGGGTGGGGTAGAGATAGAGAAGCAAAAATTGGAAATAGTAGGACAAGTAAAGAAACTCTGAAATAGCCCAACAGAAAGGTAAAGGTGGATTGTAAAAACAATGGAGAAAGAAAAACCAACGAATTAACAATTTGTTAGAAATGATGGAGCCTATCAGCTTTCTAGAGAATCTATCCTTGAACTTTATTCCTAAATCGGTCTACTTTTGCAATTCTTAGCTTCTATACCATAAAACAAAAGGACTTCAATTTTAAGTTGATTAAACCATCCAGGATGAAAACAAAGTTGTAACCTTAAAGCTACTTCAAAAGGAAAGACTATATGTTCCACACACAGAAAAAACTTGGAATTGACAAGCTATGTGGAACCGAGTAAACAGGAGGTCCATATTCTGCACTGAAAGTACGCACTTACAGAGAAATTAAAGGCTAGATTTTTGCTGCTGATACATTGTTACCAAGGAGAAAAAAAACAAAAAAAAAAATTAGTTATGGCATTTCTCTCATGACTCATTGGAGAAATCCAGAGTTCCCACCAAGAGAAATTTTAGTGAATTGCCTTCTTTTTTGAATGATGGAAAGCAGGAGAAAATTGTGCCAGTTGCAGAGTGCCAGGAAACAATGATTCAATCATAGAAACAGAAAATTTTACCAGTAGAAAATGACTTTTGCATGAATTTCAACCATCTTGAATGTGTGTCTATGAAAACAAACTTCCCAACCACGATCAGCTTTTTCCAAGATTGTCCACTTTTCTTCTTTTGCTGTATATTCACTTAAAAATATTCTTAATCTAACCCACGAAGGATTTAAGAAATGATGGATAATTAGTGGAAAACACCATTTAATATTTTCAAGTCAATCCATAATTTTTTTCTTTCAAGTGGGAAAAAGACCACCATACTGTTTCAGCAGGAAAAATAAAATCATTCTGATTTCCAAGGGTATGTTTAATGACCCAGAGATTAAAGACTATTGTATGATGATTGATGCAGTTCCTTTGAAGTGGGACTGGACCTATGTCCTGCTAAGCCCTCATTTCCCATCTGTGAAATGGAGATAATACCTCATAGGGTTACTCCACCCCCCCACCCCCCACCCCCATTTCAAATATTTCAATAGGAAACAGGTATTTATAAATGTTTAGTATACTGTTTAGCACATGCCTGAGAAGTGGGTGACTAGTTCTTTATCCGCTTTTGTTCCTAGAGCCAGGGATGATGAAATGAATTGAAAGATGGCTACAAATTCTTTGGCATTTTTCCAATATCAAGAAATGAGCTGGGTTTTTTTTTTTTTAATCTTTATTTTTTTAATGGAGTGCTGAGGATCGAACCCAGCACCTCGCATGTGCTAGGCTAGTGCTCTACCGCTGAGCTCCAGCCCCAAGAAATGAGGTTTTTGTGCCTATAATCCCAGTAGCTTGGGAGGGTGAGGCCGGAGAATTGGACGTTCAAAGCCAGCCTCAACAACTTAGCGAGGCCCTGAACAACTTCGTGAGAACGCTGTCTCAAAATACAAAACAAAATGGGCTGGGGATGTGTGGTTACGCACTGCTGGGTTCACTCCCTGGTACCAAAAATAAATGAGGTTGAAGCCAGGTGTGGTGGAGGATGCCTGTTGTCCCAGCTACTCAGGAGGCAGGGGGCAGGGAAGGACCACATATATGAGACAAGTTCAAGAACAGCCTGGGCAAAATAGTAAGACCCCCATCTCAAAAAAAAAAAAAAAAAAAGGAAAGAAAAAGAAATGAGGTTTATAGCATGGGGATATGGCTCAGTGATAGATCACTTATCTAGCATGTGCAAGTCCCTAGGTTCAATCCCCAACACCAGAAAAAGAAAAGAGAAATGAGGTTTATGTCCATTTCCCCTAAATCAGGATGGGCTCAGCATCTGTTTGACCAGTGGGAATAATACTGTGCCATTCTCCGGTACCAGTTCTTTTGAGTGACTAGTGGCTTCCACTTCCTGTCTCTAATACTTGCCTTTAGAACCAGGCACCACAGTGTGAGGAAAACCAAGCAGCCCAGTTAGATCCACAGGAAGAGGAACTGAGACCCTCTAGTCCATGGCTAGCATCCACATCTGAGCTCCTGGACAAAAGCCACGGCTAACTGCCAGCCACATGAGCGGGCTCCTTGGAAGAAGCTTCTCTGGCTCCACTGCAGCCGCCCCAGCTGACACCAAGAGGGACAAACAGAGGACATGAACAGGTAACCAGAACAGACAAAATCAAACATTATTCTTTCCTGACCCCATGATTTAGGAAGGGTGGGCAAGTTCATTGTTCCAGACATAAGTATGCTAGGTAGAAGAAGTAGGTGGTAGGACCTTTGAGGAGTCTCCTGTGAGCTGTCTGACCAGTGCTTTATGGAAAAAAATCTCAGTTCCAAAAAAAAAAAAAAAAAAATTTCCCCCAGCACTGGGGATTGAACTCAGGGTTTCATGCATGACAGAAGAAGTCTCTATTCCTAAACTACATCCTCAGCCCTTTTTAAATTTTATTTTGAAACAGGATCTTACTTAGTTACCCAGCTGGCTGGAACTCCATTCTCCATCCTCATCCAGCCCAGCTCAGCTAGTCTTTTTGGAAGCCTATCCAAAAAGTTTAGCACCTGGTGCTAAACTAAGTATCCTGAGATTAGATCTCACCCAAGACAACTGTGTCTTTGTGACTAAATTTAGTTCTGATCCTAAGGTATATCTATGTCCATTCAAAGATGTCTGCTAATTCATTCAGGATAATCATCTGACCCTCAATTCACACAGTAATCCCTCTAGTTCCATACCACACATTTGGCCAAAAGGTAATCATGCAATCAAAGAAACATAATGCTGAATGGTCCAATCAAGAGAAATCAGCTCCAGGAAATCCTTTCTCAAAGTTTTGCTGTTATGGAGCAAGGGCCTCTCTTTTATTTTACTTTATTTGGTGCTGAGAATGAACCCAGTGCCTCACACATGCTAGGCAAGCGCTCTACCGCTGAGTCACAACCCAGCCCCAGTTGTCTTATTTCTGATTGTGTTGTTCAGGTGGTTCTGTCAACTTTTGTTTTGCAGTATTAGCCAGGGAGCTACTTACTATCTAATAATCTTTATGTGAAGATTATGGTGTAAATTTTGATATTCACTTCCTGCACTGGGGTCTGTTTCCACGGGAAGCAAGGGATACCTTTCCTACAAATATGACTTATGCATCATCTGGTTCAAGATTGGCACTCAAGTGCTTCGGCCATTTAAAAGCATGCTTTCAAACTGGGCATGGTGGCACGTGCTTGTGAGCTACTCAGGAAGCAAGCAGAAGGATGGCAAGTTTGAGGCCAGGCTCTGCAACTTAGCGAAACCCTATCTCAAAATTAAAAACAAAAAAACAAACAAAAGGCTGGCGATGTACTGCTTAGTGGCAGAGCACCTGGGCTCAATCCTCGGTAACGTTTAAAACGGAAGTATCACACACTTTCAGCTACTTAATCTTCCCAAACACCTTATCAGGCCGCTTTGTCCCCAAGTTGCAAGTGAGGAAACCAAAGTTCTTGGCTTCGAGTCCTTGATCCATAAAAGGCGAACCACCCGAAACCTGGCCGCCACACAGCGCGCGACCACGGCGGCGACTCCCCGCAGGTCCACGTCGGCCCAGCATCCCTCGCGACCTTCCTTTTCCCAGACTCCTTCTCCCTCTTTTGCCCCACCCCTGTCGGGGACGCGGCCTGTGATTGGCTGTCAGAGCCCGCGGGGCGGTGAAGGTTGCGGTGACCCTGGTAACGGGAGGCGGGGCGCTGGTCGGTAACCGACGTCTGGACCCGAGGCGGCTGCGGCGGAGCGGCCTCGCTGTGCGAGGAGGCCCGGCTGGCGCGAGGCCGCAGCCAGGAGCCCGAGGCCGGGCCTCGCGCTGAGCCGGCTGGGCCGTGGGCTGCCTGCGGCCTGGGCGGCGAGGCCTCCTCCCGGCTGGCGGGCCGCCGTGCCCTCGATGCGGGTGTGGGCTCCGCGGAGCAGGACGGAGGCTGGGCCCGGGCCGCGGGCGGGATAGGAGGCCGACAGGCCCGCTCGCCCGCGCAGGTGGATGCGGTGCCGCGGCGATGGACACCCTAGAGGAAGAGAGCTTCGCGCTGTCTTTGTGAGTGACGCCGACAGCGCTCCGGCTGCGGGAGGCCGCGGCTCTGTGAAGCGGGTGACCTCGGGTCGGTGTCGCGGTGGGGGACAGCCGAGGCTCCACTCCATTAAGCGGTCTCCGCTGTGCGGCTTCTGCGGCCGCTGAGCCAGCAGCTTTAGGTCCCGGGAGACAGGCGTGCGGGGGCGGTGTCACCGAGTATCAGCGTCTCCATCACAATCCCTCGCCTGAACCTTAGGCGTCAGCAAAACCTAGGGGACTTGAGCTGCCAGGGCTGACCGCGGGTCAGAGGACCTCCACCACCACCTCCCTCCCCCAGCGACTCCGGTCTGCTCCCCTGTAGACCACGATTTCCCTGGCGCCTGGTTCACGCTGCGTAGGTGCGGCGTGATAGCCAAGATGCGGTGAGTAGGTCCCGCGGGGAATAAAGGTGGAGGCGCCTGGAGATAGCCCGTGGCTCCCCTTATTTGTCCCTTTTATAATTCATTGTCATATCGGGTTTTATAAAAGTGGAGCCATTGCATTTCATTAGTGTTTTTTCTTCTGTTTCGGGTTGATAGGCAGTAATCAGCTAATCTTTAATTCTTGAAGCCGAGTGATGGAAACTCGTTTTACTATTCTTTTTTCTCTTGTACATGTTGGAAAATGTCCGTAAAAACATTTTTAAGGGGCTGGGGTTGCGGCTCAGCGGTAAAATGCTCGCCTAGCACATGCGAGACCCTGGGTTCCATCCTTAGCACCACATACAAATAAATAAAATAAAGGTATTGTGTCCAACTACAACTAAAAAATAAATATTAAATTTTTTTTTTAAATAATGAATTGAACCAACACATAATCCTGGCATATTTTTCAGCTCCTCTGCATCCGATGCAGAATTTGATGCAGTGGTTGGATATCTAGAGGACATTATCATGGGTAAGTTTCCATACCACAACCTCATCTGTGCTCTTTAGTTCTCAGACCCTTGCTTTTAAGGACATTGACATCAATTTGAAGAGTTAATTTTTTAAAAAGAGAAAACATCAAGTTACATGTAAATTTCAGTGTTTCTCAGTGCAATACTGAGTCTTACTGAGATTTGTCTTAGAAACCTAATACTCCTTAAAACAACTAATTAGTATAGGTGGGTTCTAAGGGCACAGTGGCACCCACCTGTAATCCCATCAGCTTCAGAGGCTGAGGTAGGAGGATGATGAGTGCAAAGCCAGCCTCAGCAACTTAGCAAGGCCCTAAGCAGCTTAGAGAGAGGCCCTGTCTCAAAATAAAATGGGCTGGGGATGTGGCTCAGTGTTTAAGAGCCCCTGGTTTCATTCCCTGGTATTAAAAAAAAAAAAAGAATAGGTGGGCTCTTGGGGAGAGAGAAATGAGACCCTTAATATTTGGAGACCTGAATCTATGAGCATGACCAGCCATGCTTATCTTTTTAGTTAGATGAACAACACCTTCAGCACGTGCTTGTACCAGATCACCTAGAACAAAAACAAAATCAATTTAAATGTCACCAGATTCAAAGACCTATACAATATGCTCACACCTAATTAATGTCAAGGCTGCTTAAACAAGAAGACACATTTTGAACCCCAAATATCAAGTGATTGACATGGGATTTGATTTTCACAAAAGCTTGGCTAGGAACCTGCACATTTGTTCCCAGGAAAATCGTATATGTATTTAGTCAGAGAGTTCAACCCTGGGTATTCTCTTGTCTTCTCTTGAGAGGTGAGGGGCATCTGCATCCTGCCTTTGAGGTATGTATCTTTACTATCCTTCATTAAATCTTTGTTTGTGTCGTTCTTTAGACATTTCCTGAAATTCTTTTCAGTTCTGTTTTTCGAACCTGCACAGCCAGGCACAGTGGCACACACCTGTAATTCCAGCAAAGAGACAGGAGAATCAGAAATTGAGGCCAGCCATAGTAACTTAGTGAGACCCTGTTTCCAAATAAAAACTAGAAAAGGCTAGGGATATAGCTCAGTGGTAATGTACCTCTGGGTTCAGTCCCCAGTACCAAAATAAAAAGAACCTGCTTGTTCCGAGTTTAAGTCCCATTGCCTCCTTGCAGGGACTTTCTCCTCAACCCCTGTCTAGTGACACTAATTACCATAGATTTGGGGACCTAGAGAGATATAGTCAGGTAATGGAGCATCTAGAAGGAGCTCTTGGCAAAGCTTCAAAAAATACTGGAGCATCCAGTATTTCACAAATAGGAGTAAGAGTAATTTTGGTTTTTTAGGTAGTTTTTAGTTTTCACACTATAAAACAGAACATAAAACCATAACCAGGGCTTGGGTTGTGGCTCAGGGGTGGAGCACTTGCCTACCATGCATGGGGCACTGGGTTCAATCATCAGCACCATATAAAAAAAGAAAATAAAGATATTGTGTCCATCTATAACTGGAAGATAAATATTAAAAAAAAAAAAAAAACCATCACCATACACACAAATGTCCATGAAGAAAATAAGGTGTTAGGCTTCAGCTGGATTTCTAGTTTCCTGAGTTTTGTGTTCGTATTTGTGGATTCATTTGGCATCCATTAATCCTGCTAAGTAATACGAATAGTAACAGGCTGCAAAATTTTAAAACAGACATTGTCTATTGACTTGAGTTTTTTTAGAAGTAGGAAAAGATAATTAATTGGTGTTATTGGCCATATAGCTTAATCTAGTTTAGTCTGAAAATCACCAACCAATTTGTGTGTGTGTGTGTGGTGCTAGGGATTGAACCCAGGGCTTTGTGCATGCGAGACAAGCACTCTACTAATTGAGCTATATCCCCAGCCCACTGATCAGTTTTTTGAACCTTCGGTTCCTATAAAGCTTTGTGCCCTTAATTCCTAAATATAGACATTTCACTGTGCATTAAGCTCTTCCATGAGGACTTGAGGATTTCTGGGGAAGACTGAAATCTGTTCAGTTCTTTTCCCTATTATGGGCACTATCTGCTATGAGAAAATGAGCCTTCTGCAGGCACAGGGTATTTATCTTAAGTCTGGATCCTTTCTTGAAGCTTTCCTTTTATTTTTTAAAATAATATTCTTTTCAGTTGCTAAAATTCCCTATTCCCTAACATGAAGTATTTGCTGTGAACTAATCTCTTTATTTGCATGAATTTTTATTCAAATTCCACCCAGCCACCCCACAAGACTGATGAAGAAATTGAGGTTTAAAGAAATTAAATAACTTGTCCAAGGTCGCACAGGTAGCAAGTGGTGGCAGTAGGATTTGAACTCAGGCAGTCTGGCTTCTGTTGTTTCCACATTTTTAACTGCTACGCTGTTTTCAACACTGCTTTTTAAATTATATAAAGAGAGAGGCTTGTTGCCATTAGGTCTGAAGTCCTGCAGTTTGAGAATGGACCTTCTGTATGCCCAATAAGCTTTTATAATTTCTTAAAGATAAGAGAGACAGAGACAATTTGTTCCTTTACAGACAAGGAGTATAAGGGAGTTCCCAAGCCATCCCATAGGGATGTGTTTAAAACAAACTGGCAGAAGGTGGTGACATTTGAACAGAAGTGTGGACATACTTAAAATCATCAAACTGAATGGTTAAAACAGCTGGGCACTGTGGTGCACGCCTGTAATCTAGTGGCTTGGGAGGCTGAGACAGATCTAATTGAAAGCCAGCCTCAGCAATGGCAAGGCACTGAACAACTCAGTGAGACCCTGTCTCTAAATACAATGCAAAATAGGGCTGGGGATGTGGCTCAGTGGTCAAGTGCCCCTGAGTTCAATCCCCACTATCCCCACTCCCCCCCCCAAAAAAAAAATTTAACACCGTAAATTTTATATATCTTACCACAGTTTTTTTAAAAAGCCAGGCTTTGTGGCTCACACCTATAATATCAGCTTCTTGGGAAGCTGAGGATGGTAAGTTCAAGGCCAGCCTGGGCAAGTTAGCAAGATCTGTCTAAAAATAAAAAGGGTTGGGGTTTAACCCCAAGTACCACAAAATAAAATAAGAGTGATTGTTTTTTTTCAAGTCAGTGTCCCATTTAACTCCTCTTAAAACATTAGCTGTTAAGAAAGCAGTACTGTTGCCGTCTCATAGATCAGAATTGCTGGTAAAAAAATCCATTAAGAATAATAAATTCCTCCCTCTGTGGTTCAGATGACGAGTTCCAGTTATTACAGAGAAACTTCATGGACAAGTACTACCAGGAGTTTGAAGATACAGAAGAGAATAAACTCATCTACACACCCATTTTTAACGAATATGTAAGTGAATTCTTGTTTCTCCTACCAGGAGATTAGGGTTTCTTTAAAACTCAAATTCAGAATCAAAAGACATTGAAATTTGCTTTTAAAATAATGCCAGCAGAAACCTGCCAGGAATTCTGATTAGAATCTGGTTTAGTTCACCTTCCTCCACCCAGCTCTTAGGGCTGTTTTCCAAAAGGCTTTCAGGTGGTATTTGAGGAACTTGCAACTTGTGATTTAAAAGATGTTGGGCTTTGCCATAATCTTGCTTTCGATTGTAATATGTGAGTTCACATACCTTGATGCTGTTTCCTCTAAAGTTTTCAGTCATATACGCATGACTGTTAAGTAAAAGAGAAAACAGGAGCTAGGGGTGTGGCCCACTGGTAGGCACTTATCTAGCATGTCCAGTGCCCTGGGTTCAATCCCCAGCAGCACTGCCAGAAAAAAAAAAAAAAAAAACAGTGAAAAGAGGCCAAGATCACTGTTACAAGGTGATAGGAACACCAAGACCGGAACCTGGGGACCTCAGCTCCTTGCCCTTGGCTGTACCCTGAGGCTTCTCACAGCCTCTAAGAATGGGTTTGAGCCTTGAGGACTTTTATTTTCTAAACACAGAATCATGGCATAATCTAGGAAACTGGCTCAGCAGGAGCCAGGACTCCTCCCCGAGTGCTTGTTGTGTGCTCTGTCTGCACAGATTCCATCTACACAGGAAGACCATTAACTTCCTGTCCTCCTGCACTGGGGAGTGGGAGCTGTGCTCTGCCTGACTCCACCAGGGTTAGAGCAGCCTCCTGTTAATGGCATAACTACCTGCAAGTGCCCCTCGGCACCAGGAATCCCACGACTTAGCCAGGACAGGAGCTGGGATTTGGTCCCCTTTGGTATCCCTGTCACTCAGCATAGAGCCTACACGTAGAATAGGGTCTCGGGCGACACTGCCAAGGGCAGGAGATGGGTTTTCTGAAAACATGTCCTGCTTCTCTAAAGGTGGTCTAACTGAGATCTTTTCCACTGTTGCAGATTTCTCTGGTGGAAAAATATATTGAAGAACAGCTACTGGAGCGGATTCCTGGATTTAACATGGCGGCTTTCACAACTACATTACAGTGAGTTGAGTGCGACTGTAGGTTTTTATGTTTCTTTCCTTTCTCCTTCCCTAGACTGGGGGCGAGGTGGAAAGTCTGCCTTTTTTATTTAAGAGAAAACCTTCAGTGGGCTCTGAATGTGAAGTCAATACTTCTGCACAAAATTTTTTTTTTTTTTTTTAGAGAGAGAATTTTTTAATATTTATTTTTTAGTTTTCGGCGGACATAACATCTTTATTTGTATGTGGTGCTAAGGATCTAACCCAGCGCCACGTGCATGCCAGGGAGCACCCTACCGCTTGAGCCATATCCCCAGCCCTCTGCACAAAATCTTGAAGTGACATGTGTCTGGCCATTCATTCCTGAAGCCACCATCCTTTGCTTTTCCAGGCACCATAAAGATGAAGTGGCTGGTGACATATTTGACATGCTGCTCACGTTTACGGATTTTCTGGCTTTTAAAGAAATGTTTCTGGACTACAGAGCAGTAAGTTATGACTGCCTCTTTATCTAGCCACCCTGAATCATCTAGGAAGTTCCAACTAGAAACCATCTCCCATGTTTCCCTGATCATTGCCCCTTAAAACTGGCCAGTATCATTAGAGCTGCTCACATAGTGTGTCAGTGGAGGGAGCTGGTAACCACTGGCCAGACTGTGTTTTGTTTATTTGTTTGTTTGTTTTGGCACTGGGGAATGAACCCAGGGGCCCTTGACCACTGAGCTACATCCCCAGCCCTTTATGAATTTTATTTAGAAACATAGTCTCCCTAAGTTGCTCAGGGCCTCACCAAGTTTCTGAGGCTGGCTTTGAACTCACAATCCTCCCACCTCAGCTTCCTGAGCTTCTGGGATTACAGGCCTGAACCAACTGGCCAGAGCCTTTTCGTGTTTGGCTGAAACAGAACCTTTGAGTCCCTAAATACACAGGACAAAAACCAAAGCACTGGTCTAATCCTGTCTTAATGTAGGCTCTTTATAAGAAAAATATTTTCCAGTGAAGAGGGGAACATGTTTAAAGAGTGCCCAGGGCTGTAGTTGAGCAGAAATACAGAATAATCTGCTTTACATCCCTGTGCCCCCTCCCCCCACCCCCTCTCCCTGCACCATAGGCAGGGTCCTGAGCCAGAAAGGCTGCTTCCTGTTGCTTGCTCCTTGAAACTGTTTCCTTTTTCATGCAGGAAAAGGAAGGCCGGGGACTGGACTTAAGCAGTGGCTTAGTGGTGACTTCATTGTGCAAATCATCCTCTATGCCAGCTTCCCAGAACAATTTGAGGCACTAGGTCCCATCTCCAGGCAATGAACAGGAACATTCTGGATGTCACCAGTCTAACAGACTCAGAGAGACTACAGCTAATGACGACAGAAGAGTCCATCTCAGAAAGACTCTGTTCTGCAGCCCTTGGTTTGTGTTAAGTATTGACAGGTCAGAAACAACATGACCGGACCTTTGGACCCACTTCTCCTGACAAGCCGTTTTGTATTAGTGTTCTTCCCCTCCCCACCTAGTCACCTCTCAGGTGCTTGGGTCAGGCCCCTCTGATCAGGCCCAGGTCAGCCATTCCACCTGGGAGCCCTTCCCTGGTACATGTTGGTGTGCATAACCACAACCACGAGCCCTCCTCTTTCCAGCAGGCTTTGCATGAGTCCTTTGTGCACTCACTGCTCTTTTTTACATGGGACATAGTTTCAGTCCTTCACCCTCAATGGGGTTTTTGTTTGGGAGTATTTATCTAGGGAGCTACTGGAGCCAGCTGCCTGTCCTGCGATTTCTGTGTCTCCTCTGATCACAGCTTGTGCTGGCTGTGGGGTCAACCAAGAGAGATGTCCTTTACCTAAAAGCTACATGTGAAAGTCAACTCCCAGTCTTAACATACATGGTCCTTGTAACACTGTCTTCTGTTGGTCCTGATATAGTCCCACTGTTTCTAGAAGTCTCTTTCAAGCATTATTTTTGAAAAATATTTTTATAGATGAATACTCAGGCAAACTTAGTGGATATGATCTTGGAACTTCCATGATTATCCACCTAAAGATCAAAGTATTATATGCTATGTGCTTTTTAGTCATTAGTGCTGTAAAGATAAAAATGCTTTTCATGTTGATGCACCTGTTTCAGCAGCACCAGAGAATGTCTGCTGTGTGCTGGAACAGGCTGAAGCAACCCTGCGTCATGGCATGTCAGGTGTGTTGTGCATGTTGGCTTAAAACCCTTTCTGTGTAAGCCAGTTGTTTGGTTTTTTTATTAGGGTAGGTAAAGACTCTGCGATTTCTTCTTCCCGTCACAATCTCCTGCCAAGATGGTGTTCACTGGTCTAGCTCAGCATGAGGAGGAGGCAGTGGACAGCTTTACTGTTCGTGTGTCAGCTTTGGTTTACTACATTGTTTAGTTTAGTACTGACAGAGAACTTATGTGTCACACATCCCTGGAAAGAAGGAAAAAACAGTTCAGTTCCCCTGTGTACTTTTTTTATTTTACTTTTTATAGTGAAAATAAGAATCTGTGCTGACTTTTCACTTATCTTCTGGTTTTAAAGGATGAGCTATAAGCTGTGTGTTTTTCTGTACTAATGTGTCGTTTATTACTTTTTGTACCATGAGTAAAATTTGAGGTGTTTTGCAAGAACCATCATTCCAAACAAGTTGTGTCCTCTACTTATTTATTACTGATGTTTTGTAATACTGGGGGTCAGGCCCAGGGCCTCACACATGCCAGTCAAGGTGCTCTGCCACTGAGCTACATGCCCAGCCCCCATCCTCTCTTTAATGTGGCCACTGCCATCCGGTTATTATTGCTTTGGTCCTTCTAAACTAAAGGCACTCCCAGAACCAGCTTTTTAAATGCCACCTCTCCTGGGCCTGCTTTTCCTTCCTCCTCTTTTAAGTAGGACCACCCACCACGGGCCAGGCATGTCGGAAACCCGTGGTAGGATCTGGTGGTCCTAGCTGAGAAGAGCAAATGGACAAGTCCAGAGATGAAATCATAGAAAATGAGAAGAAAAGCAAACTGTTCTTTTCAGTCTTTCCACTCAGAAAAAAGCAAGCCCGGTGGAGCTTAAGTCAGCTTGCTGATTTCTTTTTAAATAAATTAGAAAAAAATTAAAATGAACTAGAAATTGGTCCACATAGAAACTTAGACTGTGATGTCCCAATCCTCCTCGACGGGGCTCGGCCCTGGCCTGGAGTGAGAAGACTGACGTTCTGGTCCAGCCCCAGAAGAGGGCCACACACCCCTTTCCCTGAGGAGTCCTCACCCCTAGGTCAATAGTCACCAAGCTGCAGTCTGTAACGTTACCCCTGAGACAGGCTGTGTTTTAGAGTATCAGACCTGACAGGAGGGTGGACTGTAGCTGCCTAGTGTTTCATTTTCTCTAAGCTTCAAAATGGCTTGCTCTTCCTTAAAATCAAACTCATCTTACAGCTTCATCCTGGCATGATTATAATTTACTATTCAAACTCCAGCAACCTGAGAGTAGTAATATACCGGGTCATCAAGCCTGACCCTCATCCCTCAGCCAGAGCTGCTCCTCTACAGCTGCTTGGACTAGCTACCTTTTAATTGTTGCCAATTTCTTTAAAAAGGGCCAAAGGGCACTTAGAAAAAGCCTTTGGCCTGTCACCCAGGGGATGTTCCCTTAAAATGTTAGGAAAATAAGCTCCAAAGGACCCAACTGCCATCCTTTCTGCCGTCCACCAGCTCTGAGTATGTAGCACGGCCAGCCACTGCGACATCCTCTCTGGGCTTCCTAGACTTTTGAGGTAGGTGGCATTAAAATTACTAAACTTGGCGCTTTTTTTTTTTTTTTTTTTTTGGCTTTTGCAGTGTGGTCCTGGGGGTCAAACCCAGGCTCCACAAAGGCAGAGCCAAGCCTCCAGCCTCTAGGACACTTTTAAGAACAAAAGGGCGGGCTATGAAACCTGTGCCCAGACAAAGGGCACAACCAGAACTGCTCCGGCAAAGCAGTCAGGAAGCATGGGCAGGGTCCCTTGGGACATTAGTTGGCAGTACTGAGTGGCTCCTCAGCTGGAGCTGCCCTGTGACAGGCACATCCTGGAACCTTGGCACAGTCTTAACCTGCAGCTTCCTGGAGTTTACATTGACAACCATGAGGCCCCGTTGTTTCCAAATAAGTTCTGTCTTTATTTTTGTAAAAAAAACAAAAGTCTCCACCAACCACATGACAACTCTTCAGGAGAGGTCCTACTTCCCTCCCTCTGCCATGTCCCATGTGCCTAATCAACAGCGTGGGGGGAAGTGGTCACAGGGTGTCATCTTTTCCCAAAGGGAGAGTTACAAATGAGGGCTTGGGCCAAGGAGGGCGCCTGGAGAGGTTTGTCATCAAGAAATCGCCTGGAACCTATTTGCGTTGAATAACCAGGACGTCTGGAATCAGCTCTTCCTATGTCTCCCAACAGGTGACATGTTGGTTTGGGGAAGGGGATCAGAATTGTGTTTTAAGGAGTCAGAATGGTTTGTGGGCTTGCTCAGCGGGCCCGCTCACAACGAGGGTACACAGGTGTGGCTTGTTAGCTTACAGCTATGGCGCCTCCGGCCACAGAGCTGGAGCCTGTTAGTGCAGTTAGTGCTGGTGCGCAGGGTGGGCCCAGCCGGCCTCGCACGCTGAAGTCCTCGGAAGACAAGGCGAGACAGCGAGAGCCCCTCATCCCCCGTCACCTTCTGCTGAATAAGGGGGATGGGGAGGAGCTCAGCCGTGGGCTCTTGTCAGCCACATGCATGTGGCCTGTTCCCTAGGAGTGCTGGGAGCACTTGGTCTCTGGGCAGGGAGAGCAGCTAGCACAGTCCCGCCGGCCGACTCACGCAGGGCTCCAGGCTCAGGTCTGCTGATGGCCCTGTACTGCGTCCCAGCGGCAGCTCGGCCAGCCAGGGCAGGCCAAGGCACAAGGGTCTAGGCGTAGCCACCAGCCACCTGACTGGTAGCTGCGTTGCTGCCCACTCCTCGCCAGGCCTGGAAGCTGAAGAAGGCGCTGGCTCCGTAGGCGATCATCACCAGACTGGCAAAGAACTGGAGGGAGAAAGGTGGTAGGTGGCAGGTCAGCACAGCACTGGGAGCTGCAGGGTGACCGTGACACCAGCACATGGGTCTCCTCAGATACCCCCTCATCCAACCAAGCAAGTCTGGCAGCCATGGCCCCTCGTCCTTAGGCCCATTGGACAGCCGGGGCAGGGGAGGCCAACAGGCACTCAAGCATAGGAAAAGGTCATGTCAGACGGGGCTCTGGCCACGGCGAACCTCGACCTGCACAACGTGCCCAGAGTGACTGTGAGGGAGGGCCACTGGACACCTAGCCAGGCATTTAGTTTTAAAAAGGTAACATTCAGGTGGGTGGTAGAGCTCAGTGGTAGCGTGCTTGCCCAGCACGCTTGAGGCCCTGGCTGTGAGACCCAGCACCGCGGGGGGGCGTACATTCAAAGTTCCCCCAGGGGACATGGCTCAGTGGCTAAGCACCTCTGGGTTCAACTTCTGCATACCAAAAAACAAACAAAAACAAAAACAAAGCCACATGGAAATTTTCTGGATCCAATTCATACCTCTATGTTTGCATCTCCTGTATCTGCGTTCAGACGCTCCACATGTGTGGCCAAGTTCACTGATTGCAAAACCACCCTCACCAGGAAGAGTGAGGACACAGAAGGGCTGCCCTATGTTGGACATGACCATGACCCCAGGCAGGCCCCTTAACCTCCCAGAGCCAATGTGTCCTTGTCTGTGAAAAGGGATGGGGAGACCCTCTTCCTCAGGGCCTTGCCGAGTGGAGCATGACAGGTGTGCAGGGCTCTGTGGTTCACTCCACCAGCCACCAGACGTGGGGCCTGAGTTTGGCCTTCCTGGGAGAACTTGTAACATCCCCAGGTACGGCTGAAACCCAAGGGCAGAGGGTCTCAAGTTCTCAGCACATTCTCCAAGAGAGCCTGTGACCCTAAATCAGGATGGCACGACTGATTTTCAGCAGAGTTCCACAGTGAATCAAAGCTGCCACTGGCCACCACAAACCGTTCCCAAGCATCTGTTGAGCCCAAGGCCTTGAACATGCTCAGCGAGTGCCCACCAACTCTACCACTGAACGCCACCATCCCCTCGTTCCTCAAGGTCCTAGAGTTCATTAAGGAAGCCTGAAGGCAGCCTGGCTCCTCATGGGACCCTCTGAGGGACCCTCATGGGACCCGCCTGGCTCCTCATGGGGCCCTCTGAGATGTAGGTGGTGGATACTTAGGTGGTGGCCGGTGCCTGGCCTCAGACCCAGGGAGCTCTGTGGAGGAGGGACCTTGGCTATAGACTGCTGGGGGGGGACCCTAAGGGACATACTCACAGAGGCAGCTGCACGCTGGTTGTATGGCCGGGAGCCCTTCAAGGAAGTCTGGTCAACTGCTGCAGAGCAGGTGATAAAGGCGGTGACATAGAGAACAGTGGCAGTCACATTGAAGATCATTAACTGGGGGAGGGGAGAAAAGGCTTAGGACAATCGGAGGGGACCTCCTGGCTCCCAGGGGGCACACCCCCAGAGTGGGATGGAAGAATGTGGGCCTGTCCTATGAAAAGGGCCTTGAGGTCACAGTCCCCATGGGGTCAACCTGGAGGCCATCTGAGCAAGCAGCATAAAACAGCCCTAAGGCTGAGGGAGGGAATGGTCAAGAGGCCCCAGATGACCAGGCCAAGGCAGCCCAAGCCACAAAGCCACAGGCAAAACCCTTCCCCATGCAGCATGGCTCAACCGTGACCCAGCTCTTGAGACCCGCGGAGAGCCGCTCCTCCACGTGGGCTCAGGGCCAAGCCCAGGCCCTCCCTGGTGCCACTTCAGGGCTTAGCCCTGTGGCTGGTCAGTCACACCAGTGGGAGGGACCTTTTTTCTTTTTTTCCTTTTTCTTTTGGCAGTACTGAGGATTGAACCGAGGTCCTTACTACGCATGCCAGGAAAGCAGGCTACAAACTGAGATACACCCCAAGTCCATGGATGGGGATCTATGGCTCTCTCTTGGCCACACGCTAGACTGAAGGCCCAGAACAGATGTCAGGGTCAGGCCCTCAGAAGACCCAGACGCTCCTGGTAGAATATTCTTCCAGATGGCAGGAGGGGGCCTGGGCTGACTGCAGCCAGATCTCAGTCCCACATCCCAAATGCTTGGACCCTAGGGCCAGTTATGTCTTCAAACTAATAGTCCTCAATCATCAGGTTTGTCCCATTTATTTTTTAAAATTTATCCACATTTTAAAATTAGATTTCATTTGAAAACTTAAATTTTATATAAAATGTTGATAGGCTCTCGGGGCTGAGGACAGAGCTCAGTGGTAGAGCACTTGTCTAGATGGGCAAGGATAGGGTCCCCTCTCCTACACTGCCAGGAACCAAAACAATCTCAGAATATAGGGTCCAGCCCAGTAACGGGGGATCTGCGTGGACAGATATGTATGTGGGGTTCCCAGAACTTCCTGAGCCACACTCCCAGCCCTTTTTGTATTTTATTTAGAGACGGGGTCTTACTGAATTGCTTAGAGCTTCCCTAAGTTACTGAGGCTGGCTTTGAACTCGAGATCCTCCTGCCTCAGCCTCCAGAGCTGCTAGGATTACCGGCGTGGGCCACTGCGCCCAGCTCACTCACATATCTTGCTTGGCCATGTAGCCC